GAACGAGTTTTAAAGAATTCACGCAAAATATTAAAGTGAGTTCTAGAGTGATAACTAAGCTTGATTGAGAGATAACCAAGCTGAGAAAAACTTTGGGAGAATTTTATCGGAAATACAATATATATTGAAAAAAGAGAGTAAAAATTTGAAGAAATGAATTGAGAGAGAGAATGTTTTGAAACTCATTGTCACATTGTGAGGGCGCAACAATCAGACTCACTTGGTCAATAATTAAGGCAGCATTTATTTCTAGATAGAGAGTTGTGCGTGGATACATACAGAAATATAGGTAGGGGTGTTCACCGTATTCAGCTCAATTTGAGAGTCGAACAGAAACCAAACTGCATTTAAAAAAATAGGAGCTCAATAATATTTCGCTCCATTAATGAGCCAAATTAGAGAGATTGAAGTTTGAAAGAGCTGGCGCGTGCAAAGTCGAGGTGTCTGCGGTGCCAGCGTAGGAGTCATGGGAGAGCAAGGGCGGAGAAGGAGGCCTTGGGCACCCTCAATTAGGCGGGGGAGCCGAGCAAGGAGCTCTATGGACTTTATGGACTTTGTGATTTGGTTAATGATACATGGATTTGTGATGGAATGGAGCAGAAGAAGAGTTGTGATCCATGAATTTGTAATGGGATGAAACTGAAGAAAAAGAGATGGTGGGATTTTTAGGGTTTCTTGAAAGTGATTTCTCATATAAAGCTAAGAGAGATAAGTTTATATGATATTTAGGGTTTTTTTTTATAAAAAAATTCTTTTTCTTATTGGTTGCAAATATATGCCAATTACCGCTGAAGTATACTCGCTTTGGCGAATATGATGCCTTACAAGTTAAAAAACGTTTGAAGATGTGAAATTAATACCATCTCACATTACATCAATAATTAAAAAGAATCAGTGATCATAAATACGAAAAAAATAAAATATAAAATTTGATTTGACTTAAAGGATTCAATTTTAAAATCATGGATAAAAACCAAACCCAACATTTTGATTTTCAATATTTAGAAATCGAAAACCAACAAAACCAAATAGTCGACTTGGTTCGGTTTGATTTTGTCATCGATCTCTGTGTGCACCCCTACACAGAGACTTTTTAAAAAAAAGTTGGGAAAAAAATTCATTAATAGTTGGGATGTTGACAACAGAAATTCTTTTGAGTATATAGGAAGAATGTTTGGTTTCCTTTATCAATTATTCAACTACCATCCTTAATTGAGTGGCCAATTTTAAACTATATTTCTAACCAAAAATGAATGTATACCAGTAAAACTGCCCCACACCATAATTGGCCTATTTTTAGTCACAATATGCTATAACACTTTATCCATACATTACGACTTTGCTAAGAGATTAGAAGGAAAAAAAAATCATATTATATATTGAAAGTTGCACGTAAGATGTTGATGGTGACAATAGAATTTAACAATTTATTGAAATACAAAAACCCATAAAGAATAAAGATTTAGTCACTAATTTTTAAAATTTAATCCTATCATAGTAACATAAAATAATAAATTTTAGGGACAATGACAAATATAGCAAAAAAAAAATTTAAGGAAGTAATAAATTTTAGTACACTAATATTTTAGTTTTGCAAATATGACAAAATTTTTGAAAAAAAGGAAGCTCTAATAATAAAAGGTCAAATTTACTTTCGTAGTGCTGATATATCACTGATATAATAGTGATATCATATACAATTGATATAATTACGATACACACTAATATAATTTCTTATATGATTATATGATTTACTATTTGTTGGTTTACCAGTAATGTATGTGTGATATATACTTGATATGTCTCTAATATACCATTGATGTATTACTAATATACAATTAACATGTATGATACCTACTAATTTAACTTCTAATATAGTTTACCAATGATATACGTATGATATGATTAACTATGATATCTACTAATATAACTTCTTATATGATTAACTACTAATATAACATTGATATATATGTAGTATATATTTAATATGCTTCTAATTTATTGCTGATATGTCGCTGATATAACTATGATATCTACTGTTATAATTATGATATCTATGTGTTGATATACTACTAATATATCCACTATTTTTCTTTCTTTTTTTCCGATGAAAACAATGGTTGACAAGAAATAAAATGAAATCTAAAGTTATTTCTTAAAAAATTGATGTGGACCATATGTCAAAAAAAAAAAAGTTAAAAACCTGAAATATACTTTATAAATTTAAAGAGTTCATATCTCTTATATTTAGTATCTCATTAATATTAATATAGAATAAATAATAGTGATATAACAATCAAAATTATTGATAATATTAGTATATCAATCAACAAATCTCAGTGATAAATTATAGTTTAAACATCTGATATACCATTGATAATTAAACATTTAATATATACCTTATATTTAATATATCAGTTATAAATATATTTAGTATATCATAAATTTGAGGTATATTAGATATATATTAGATGTATAATACATACCTCTGATGCATATCAGTAATATATCGAATGTATATCAGATGTAGATCGGAAATATATCAGAAGTACATCAGATGTATATCTAATATATATAATATGTCATAAGGGTAAAATTAGAATAAAAAATTTTCAAAAATTAAAATAAAAATATTTTGTCATATTTGTAAAAAGAGGTTGATATTTTTGTAAATATGTACAACAATTTTACTACCCAATCTAATTTTCTTAAATTTTAATTAAAAAAACCGTTAAAACCCCACCCCTCCCACTCCATTAATTACTCTCCTGTATGGTTTTGTCTTTTTCTTTTTAAATACCATGAAGGGTGGAGATTTGAAGATGACGTTTTGATTCAAGATAAGTGTCTGAATTATGTTCAAGTTGGCATATGACTGCGTATTTTATCTTTTTTTTTTTTCTAAAGAATTGGATAATTTTAAATTTATCCATTTTTTCCAATTCTTTTAAAAAAGAACTCCAACAGTACCATTTTTGGCAAATTCGATGTCCAGATCTTTTGGTATTTGCGTTGTTTGTTTAATGGGATTGGAATTTGACACTCTTGAATTTGCATTTTCAATCGGATTCAGGCAGCTCTTCGACACCTTCAATCGACACATCGACACATTTTCAGGACCAAAGTTGATCTCCTTTTTTCCTATTTTCTCATCTGTTTTGTCAACTATGGCATTACTGTTTTAAAGTCGAAAATTGAGTTTTCCTTTTGATTTAAATTTATGGCCTTCTCCTTTTTGGGCGTTTCAATTTCTTTTGTCGGTGGAATTTAATTTTGTGATTTGATATGGGCTTGCAACTCCTTCACAAGACCGTCACTGATGTATGGAATTGTTTCTTTTTGTTTTTACTCTGCAATATCGTGAGCGTTAGAGAGGAAGAGAGATTCGTCTGCATTTGCGGTAGTTGGCGGTGGCAAGTTATTGTCGAAAAGAAAGATAAGAGATCTAACAATAATTTATAATACCTCTACGGAAAAGGTTGACTTTGTACCGCCCAGAGGTGTTGGAGATAATATGTAGAGAAAATTTAAGGAAACACAAAATTAACGTAGCGTTGTTTCCTTAAGACTATTTTGTTCCCTTTACGGTACTCAAGATTTCATGAACAATTGTTTCTCAGGATAGGACAGATATACCAACCTGTGAATGCAGCAAGACTCAACGAACTCACACTATCTAAGCACTAGTACCGAGGAAAAAAGATAATTTTGAGGGATGATTTTTCTGTATATCAAAACTGAGAAGAACCACGTATTTATATACTATTTATGGTCATTCAAATAGTCATATTTTTTCAAGTAAAGTTATGTCTTTTGATAAAAAGGACATAACCTTTACAAAAGACGCACCAGTTCATTAAAAGTTGTGATTCTTCACTTAACAAAAAAAATTTTATTCAAAAATTCTAACAGGAGGTCATATAGATCGGAACCCGGAGCGATAAGAACGAAAGGGTTGGTGTGGCCACTGCTACAGCTACCGGCGCTTCAAAAGGCTTCAATTCTACTTTTAAGAGTCTGTTCAAAGGAGGAGTCCCTAACAATGAAAAGATCTCTGATATGAGCTAATTGATTTTAGATAAAAATTAATGAATGTTAATATGGTATGAAAACTAAAAATATAAAAAGAAATTACTGAAAAATTCATTAAAAAAATAACATAGGGTTAGACGGCTACCCCTATCTCCATTGCTGTATCTCTGGCGAGTTTCCCAGTCTTTTGTTGGGATATTTCTTCGGTGGATTGGACGATTTCAATTTCGCTTCCTTAAATTGAGTTTTTTTCAATAAGGAGCACCAAAAGTAATTTTCTCTGGACTAACAAGTTTGTGAAAATAAAGAACAGATATTTTTTTTACGCCTTCAAATTTAAGTCATTCTTGGAATACCCCAATTGCCTCTCTGACAAAGTGGTTTCAAAACTGCAATATATATTCAAAACAAGAGTTTTGAAAGAAAAAAAGAAATATTTTCATAAATTCCTATAAAACCACCAAACATCCCCTTACCTGTGGGCTTAGTTCGAACACAAAACCTCTCTGATACCACCATTCAACTAAAAAATTTAAACTAACGGATTGAGTAAATTTAATTCATTTATATGAATTCTAGCAATTTCTATTTATTGGATCTTGATGTTATTTTCCAAACCCACAAGTGGAAGATAGTATTAGATATCTAATATATGAATTAAATTTACTCGATCCTTAAGTTTAAGTTTTTGGGTTGAATGAATGTTTATTGATCCTTAACAGTTTTGACCTCTTCTATCCTCACATTGTTATACTAAAAAAACAATTATTTATTCTTATCCTATTTAAACGTATGGTATTTCAGTTCAAAATTTATTGCCTTGTCGGTATTGCCGCAAGTCTTTTTTTCCCAACAGATATCGCCGCAAGTTTATGGGTCCACTGTCTTTAATGCCTTCCAATCTCTCTCAGCCCTACTTATAGAACCCAGTTCTTTCCTCATTTCTTGAAGAAACACAGTGAGGAATATTCATTTAATTTTCTTCGAAGCCTCATCTTTTCAGATTTCTTAAACATGGACATGTTCCCCTCAACATCATCCAAAACACTGCCTTTCTACAGCCATAAAAACACGGCACTTTATGTCCATGCCTCCGATCACGGTTTCAAGCCTTATAGCGGCGGAGTAGAAGACGGTGAGATCGGAGTTTTCGGGGCCGAGAAGTACTTCAACGGCGGAATGGAGGAGGAAGAGAGTAGTAGCCAGAGATCAACCACCACCAGCAGCAGCACGAGAAAACCACCGTATGATCACTCCAAACAAGTCGAGAAACTGGCTCTCGCCCACCACCACCAAGCAAGGCCATGGCTCGAAACTCCGAGCGCTGCCTCAGAGTCAAGCAGCATCATTAGCCAAAGACCTCTACTGAAGAATATAGTAAGAAATAAATCTACTGTTGATACTGTCGCTACTGTCAACAACAACCTTAATAGTTCCAAATCCAACAATTTCCCAGAGAACAAAAATTGCTTTCAAGAGACAACCTCAACAAAGAGTTTCCTGTCCGCTACTCTCGGCTATTATTGCAAGTGTTATTCTTGCAAGGACAAGGACTGTGTCGACGTGGGTGAGATCAGTTTTAGCAACACAGTTGCTGCAAAGTCCAAAAATAATAACAACAATAATAATAAGATTATCGAATGCGTTGAAGATGCCGCAGTGTCGACTGGCGAGTCCTTTAGGGACAACCACTTCAGCTTCCATAGCTTCAAACAACAAGAACAAGAACAAGAAGCGGAACGGAAGTCGTTGGAGGTTTTCGGGTCACCGGTGATGGGGAGGCTCAGAAACTACAAATCAATGAGCTTGGAGAAGAGGCTGGCGATGCTATCTTGGAACCAAACGAACAACGAGGATGAGGTGAACAGCGACTGCAGTTCTGATCTGTTCGAGATCGA